TATCTATGCTGTTCCTTTTATCTGTTCATCTATTCTTGCACCAGTGCCACACTCTTAATTTCTGTAACTTTATAATAAGTTTTCGTATCTTTACAAATCTTGTCACCTTATTCTTTGCTAAGAGCATCTTGGCTTTTCTTTGTATTTCTTCATCCCTTTGAATTCATCTTAGGGCAAATCACTGACCTAGAATCTAGCTTTAACTTAACACATAGTATATACTAGCTTGAAGTATTTTAAATTACAGACAACACCAGTGCCTCAGTCCAGAGGAAGGTACAGTTGCATCTTAGAGGAATCACTGGTCCTATAAACCAACTAGGCTCTAAGAGACTGAATGGGATGAAATGAATGTGGTGTAAGAAGCTAGTGAAGGCCAAGAATTGACACCTAATTCTACCCTCCTTCGGTATCATTCTTAGGGAGGAAATGGAGAAAGACATGTGAACCCAAGAATGGTCTGTCTTGTTCACTGTTGTATTTCTGTGCCTAATACACAGTGGGCATTCAATAAATATTTGTTAAATGAGTGCATATGTGTATGTATGCTTCTCAGAAGATATTACATAGCCATGAGTTTCACTTTGCCTTAGACGCTAGAAACCTTAAAACTAAAATGATAATCATTTGAGATTTTGCCATTTCATGGTTTTGCCTCTTTCTATTTCTGTTTTGTTTTTTTTGTTGTTGTTTTATATGCATTACCTTAAGTCTTTTTGGAAATAAGTGCATAGATTTTTTTTTTTAAATGTTGAATTTTGTGATTACCTATCGGTGATTCTAGAAGTTTGTTGAGTCTGCATCCCTAAATGGAAATAATTTACAAGTTCTTAGCACATTAAGTTCATATATATTATAATTCAGTCTGAGTTTATATCTAGATTCTCATATTTTGAAATATTCATATTTTATGATGGAGAAACTGCCAAGTTATCCTAATTTTCTCCATTTTTATTTTTCTTCTTGAAAAGATGGATGTAGTTGATGAGACTTACATAAAGCACATGTTTGTTTTCTGCCCTAAATATTAAAATACTGTGTTTTTTGATGCAGATGTGGAATTAGAAGAAGCTATTAGAAGAAGCCTTGAGGAAATGTAATTAAAGATATTACCACACAACATCAAGTAGCCTTGAAGATACTCAGGATAATGAATTCTTGAGTTTGTTTTCTAAAGGAGGCCAGAAAACTACTAGTACAGATGTATTTGAAAACATGCTTTTTTTGCTTTTTCATGTTCAAAATTTGATATTTGCTTTTGTGTGTGTGCTACTTTGCAAAATGTACAGAGGAAGAGAATACATGTTAATGCAAATATAAATCATATATTCCAATATAGGTATCACAATTTACCAGTTAACTTTGAATTCATATATTTAGTTTAAAAGAATTAAAAAATAGAAAAGCTCTTGACTATTGTTTATGTTTCTCAAATAGTATTAGGTCTTTATTTGTACTGTATAGATGATTCTAGTTTAATTTTTTTAGGAGTGAAAATGAACATAAATAAAGCTGTCATAGTTTAGTTTTTCTGTAAATTCTACTTCTCATGTGGCAGTAATATATATAATACCTTTGAGATATTTGTTTGTGATTATTAGAAGAGAGTAATGGAAACTGATCATGGAAACAGATTAAAAATTTTACCAGCAATGTTTTTTGTGGGTTTCGCTCAGATGATTTTCTTTCTTTAATTAGAGCAGCACATTGCTGGAATGATAACACCCTAATTTCTTTGAAATAATTATAAAGAAACCTTTACTATTCCTTTACCTCTTTAGATTTTTATGTGACTTGTATTACCTACTGTTTAAAGGGAATGGTGTCAAAATACTTGCATAGAATTAAACTTATTTTTAATAATATTAGTCCTTTTTTATATATTTGTGTAAAAATAATCTTAAAAAATAATCTTCAAGGTCTACTCAGGAAGAATTTTCTTTAACTTTAAAAATTTTTATTTCATATGAAAGTATCTTCATTTTAGTTAGTCATTAAATTATCAGGTTCCTACATGAAGTGTTACATATTTAATTTTTAAATGTTGAGGTCCCATTGTGAATAAAAAATTACATAATTAGAAGACAAAGAAGGGCTTGTCATACTATCTTTGTGTATGTGCTTCATGTTATTTGACCAAAAATGTCATCCTTAAAATTTTTGAATAGTAATTACTTACCAAACTTAAAATTCTCTATAATTTTTCAAGAATCATGACTTGAATTTTGTTCTTTCTCTGCAATTACATATTTTAGTGTGAAATAGCATTGCTTTTTTTTTTTTTTTATTAGTATAGCATTGCTGTTTTTTTATTAGCATAGTTTTTTCAATCCACATTAGAAACACATTTTATTTCTTAAGATGTCAGGTCTATTCTACCTGCTTGTATTTTTTTTTTAAGTAGACATTGTAGCTTGAGAATTTACCAGTCATTTTCCAGAATGACTACATCGTGCTTTTAATTTGTATGTTAAAGTGGTCAAGCAAAGCTTTTGGAGATATTCACTGAGTCAGACCTTAAAGACAGCTGCAGGAGCTTGCTCAGTAGTGAGGAGCAAAAAGGACATTCCAGAAAGAAGTGTGGTTAAGCAGATATAGGGAAGAGGAACCGATACCTCTTTGTCAGAGGTGCCACATACAGGTGTGATGTACACTGATACTCTGTTGAGAAGCTTTCGTGTGTATGGTAGAGAGAACTGAAGCTTTTCATCATGACCCTTAAAAAAGGTAATTGGGTTGTTTAATGTTTTAATTAATAATTGTCGCTGATTGTATTTCTACTTGTTAAGCAATTAAAAATCATTTTTAAATTACTTCATAATTTGAATTTAATTTAGATACAAAGGGGGAAGATGTAATCAATGGATGACATTACAGAAAGTTATATGGATTACTAAATTACCAAAGTAAATGTTTTTAATATTTCTAACATCTTTTCATTACATCATTTTTTCATTCGGCTCACTCACAAAAGATTTATTGAGTACTTACCATGTGCCAGCAACTGTTCTAAGTACTTGAAATATACCAGTGAGCAAAACAAAGCCCATATTACTCCTCTGTAGAGTTCACACTAGGGGAGAGGAGGGTTGGATAAAGTGTTAGATAATAAGTATATCCAATGGCGATAAATGTAATGAAGGAAAATAAGGAAGGGAAAAATAGTGTGGGGGTGGGGAGGCTTGCTGTTTTTAATAGGGTGGTCAGGAAAGACCCTGACCAGGTGAACTTAGCAAAGAACTGAAAAAGGTGACAGGGAGCCATGCAAATATGTATGAGGAAGAGTGCCAGCCAGATGGAGAGCGAAAAGGCCTAGAAACTTGATATATCCATGGAAAAGCAAGAAAGCTAGTAGTATGAGCTATGAGAGTAATAGATGAAGCTGCTGAGGCCTAAGGTCCTTGGTTTTTACTCTGAAATGAGCCGTTGAAGGTTTCTGTGAATAAGTGGTGTGATCTGCCCTATTTAGGATTACTATAGTTACTGTACTGAGTGCATACATGAGAGGCAAGAGTAAAAGCAGGAGACAGGAGGGTGTTGTAGTGTAGTCCAGGTGAGAATTGATGGTGGCTTGGACCACAGTGGTGGCAGCGAATTGGGGAAACGAATTTGGATAAATTCTGAAGGTAGAGCTGACGGGATTTACTTATGGAATGGATCTAGTATGTAAGGGGAAAAGAAGTCCAGGATGATTTTTAAATTGCTTGATAGACTTTTAAACCATTCATGAAATGCCTTCAATTCCAAGTATGTGTCATGATATGACAAAATATATTTGAGGTCCAGTAATCCCCTACACCAGTGGTTCATCAGTGTTCAGACTGAGTTTAGAGGGAATTGGGATCTGGGTTTAAGAGCCTTACCTCTCTCTGTTCAAGTATTTAAATGGCTTTGATTTCAGATTAAAGGTTGACTGAGCTTTAAACTTTCAATCATTTTATGTGTCCTGTACACTCTCATCCTTGCAATGAAGCATACAGCTATGATGAGATGGGGGCAAATCACAAGTTTTAAGTAGATAAATCTTTGTACTACCAGCCCTACTCCACTTCTACTGACCTTTATTAGTATCTGACCTAGTGGCCTACTGCATCTTTTCATTCTTAACAGAATTACATAAATTAGGTGTGAAATGGCCTTAATACTAATTATCTCACTGAAATTACAACAGGAATCATTTTTTAATAGGAAAAAACTCATTAAAAATTTCTTCATTACAATAGGTGAAAATGAAGCAAATTCACCTTGCTTCCTCCTGCAGCTGGAAAGAGATAGGGTAGCCTGCAGTGGTGTTATCCAGGCTATCATTATTCTCATCTCAGGAAAGTAGTAACAACAGGGCAGGTCGGGTAAATATATTTTGCTTAGGAGCTGTACTTAAATCCCATCTGTTCCACAAAGGGACCTTTTCTCCACATATCCATGGACTTAAACGTTTTTGTTTTTGCTGTGAATTATGGGGGCTGGGAGAAACTAAGGCGAAGCCATCGTATAGTAGTAATACATTACCCACAGCCTACCCTTCGATTCCTTCGCGTGTGGGAGTTGGTTACTTTGGGGCTGCACGGAGACTCGGGGCTTCGCGTGGCGGAGTGGGGGGTGGGGTGCGGGTGGGGGGAGAGAAGGGTCCCGTGAGTCTCCGCAGGGGTCTCGGTTCCTGGATCCGCAGAGCGGAAGGATCCGCGGATCGCGTTAGGGCCTCCCGCTTCTACGTGGGTCCCCCCAGGCGTCTCAGACGCCGCCTGACTTTGCTCCTCGGGCCTCCCGGCCCTAAGGGCCTATCTTCGATCCCCTGTGACCAGCGAGCGCTCTCCGGCAGCCGCGGCAGCTG